AACTAGGCAAAGAGCGATTGAACATTTTAATTTTGAAAAACTAGTATAATTGGGAGTAATACATGCGGGGCCTTGGATCACTCATTTTAATGGTGCATATTTTCGACAACAAATATCGTTCAGGGAGAAGGGGTTGCTCAACCCACCCTGCAGATGTTTTAAATCTTACTTGCAGCTTCAGAGGGAGCGCACAGCACCAGAGTATGAGTTTTAAAAGACAAGTGCAACCACCTCCTAATGCTCATCCATTTAATCAGTGATGACCTGACATTTATGGCGCGTTTCCACTGCAGGCCTCGCTCGGCCTCGCTCGGTTTGGTTAGGCCTTATTAGGCCCGGCTCACTTTAATGCTGCATTTCCATTACAGTTTAGGAACTGGGGCAGTTACTATAGTAACGCAGTGTAGGCGGAGCCGTGACGTCATCTTCAATGAGAGCCCCAGAAAAACAACACATCCGTTATCTCTTAGCACTCAGAGCTCACAGCTCTTCATATCTGTTCAGAAACTAGACACAAGTTAAACAAGTACAAACCACAGACTGCCTGTGTCATGGCGAATACAGTCGCTGGTTTATTTATGTCTGTATAGGCCGTTGTTGTGAGTGTGGACGGTCGGAGCATATATAACGTTAGCTTAGCCAAGCTACATTTAGAAAACAAGCATTTTAAAAGGGTTTTTCGCCTGCCGTCTGTCTGCAGACTTGTCAAAGCCTTAACTCATGGTTTTTACTAACCGGTATCAGTATGTTGTTACTTCGGCATCATTTTAAAACGTGTATTACAATTAAATCACGGTCAAATATGTTCATCATGTTGTAGTTGTAGTCCCCTTGCCAGCGATTCTCTCTCTAGTTTAGCATACTCAGCCCGACTCAGCCTGGTTGTTCCTGGCCCTAGAACCACGATTTAGTCGGGCCAGAAAAAAGGTGAAAAAGTAGCCCCGGGCCAAAACTAGGCCAAGTGGAAACGCAACCAAAAACGGGCCCCGCACGGCTCGGCACGCTTAAAGCGAGCTACCCGCTGCAGTGGAAACGCGCCATTAGAGATGTTATTTAAAAGGAGAAACATATCTGCCATGAGTGAAAATTCCTGAATTAAACTACAAACCATTAATGAAATGACTTCTGTTTTTAAAGTCCTTGTTAAAGGAGGGAGTAATTATCACATGCTCGGGCACCCAAGGTTCCACACACTGTTAAGGAGGTTAGCATAGTTATTTAAGTAGACCAGAAATGAAAATAAATTAGTATAATGAGTTATTGATATTCCACCGATTTTCACACCATTTCAGAGACTTTATCACTGCATTAGAACAGAACACCCCAAAGCCAGTAGGGCTAAGAGACCAGTCCCAGGGGGAGTTTAGGCTCCAGGGTAAAAGGATAGCATAGGGGCGCCCAGGGGAGGCCTAGATGTTGCACTAATTCCATGTCCTAAAATACCGATTGATAACAACGGCCTCTTCTAGAGAACATATTACTTTCATACCTTAAATGGTATGAAAGGAGGGAGGGTACATTTCTCATGGGGGACAGTTTCCAATGCTAGTCGAACAGGACGATCCACCCCCATATACAGATGTAGATGAAAATGATGAGTTAGTTTGAATGAGTTTAAATAATATGGATGTTCAGAGATGAGAATGTTCAATGAATGTCCAGCCGAGGTGATTCTTTAAAATGATGAAATCATGTGAAGAAGAAAAATGCTAAAATGGAGTGAATCCATTTCAATTTACTTATGCTATTCCAAGATAGTGTATGTTTATTTTATTCATTATTATACTATACTATTCCAAGATAGTGTATTTTCATTTTTTATTAATACATTACACTGGTACAAGATATTTTATTCTATACTGTTCTAATATGATGGATCCCATGTTTTATAAATCATTGCTATTCTAAAATGGGTCGTTTCTTTTCACTTTGTAAAAACAAGTGCCTTAACACTGAGCGTGGTATGAGAACGGTTTCTGTGAAAGGAGGGAGGAAGAAATGTTCTAATACCAAGCCATTGCTGCTATTTTAAAGAGCCATATTGAATGTTAACACTAGAAGTTATGCAAAAGGGAAAACTTGTATGTTTGAACACAGTCAAAGTATTTTTGTATTTTTGTAAAATTGAGGCTATTCGAACCATTCCATTTTGATTGTATGTTTTTGATATGAGTTATGTACTATGCAGAGTTCAGATGAAGAACTCATTGATTTCAGTATTATACACACCTTTTAGGTGTGTAAGGAGGGACTGTTAGAAATTAAAATCAATGTTTTGATGGCATAATGTACCTTAAATGTACCTTCAGTTTAAATGCTGTTTTATACTGAAAAATCAGAAGTTCTTGTGCACAACCAGTTGTTAAGCTTTTATTCTGAAAATCATTCATCTCCGGTTAGCATTTAGCATGAGGCTAATATACCATTTCCTATAGAGGTGAATTTAGCAGCGAGATGATATGATGTTGCACACCGAAACCTACTGATTTCAACACTACAACTATAGACGTCGAGATATTATTATTGTTGGATATTAAATGAAGGTACAGTTTATTTGAGTACGTTATTGTTTACAGATGTGGGTAGCATGTCACAACATTCGGAACGACCGGAACCAAATTGCTGTGAAGTATTTCCTGTATTTTTTGGAGTATTGATTACAGCGTTTAGAATGTGTTAAATGAAAAGTCATGAAAGAGTTAAGGAGGAGAAAAGGCGTGTTTAGATGTATATTGAATATACAATGTCTGTATCCTCTGATATGCGTAACAACGGACATTAAATACATGGAGAGCCGGCCCCCAGGGAGGAGCCAGGAGAGGATATATAAACAACGAGACCTGAGGGGTCGGGCCTCTTTTTCTGCTAGCGAGAGCCAGGGACAGCTGCTTTTCTGTCGAACAATATCCTGTTTGTGACTTTACCACGCTTTTTATTATTAAAGTACCAAATTTGAACCTCCAGAGACTCCATTTAGTCTCCTTTTTAAGCTTCTCTGTCCTGGACGCTGAGAATAAGAACACAGTTAACAGGAGCAAGAAATCTTTTAATCGTTGTTGCCCAGGCTTGCCGAAATGAATGGAAACTTATCTCCCGATTATAACATTGTGTAACTTGCTGCTGTTAAATACCGTCAAAATATGTGCAATATATACTTTATATACATATGCCATCTTTAATAACTGTAATATATATACCGGGCTGCTAAATCCTAAGAACTGATACAGGATTTGATTTGTAGATTTGATGTTTTTTATCTGTATTTTTTAAAATTATGTAACTTTTTTTTAGCATATTGTTTATTATATTATAACTTAGTACTTTTTTAGCATATTGTTTATTATATTATAACTTAGTACTTTTTAACGCATGTAAGATATTCAACACTAAGCTGTCTGTGGCTCTTTCCTGCTTCAACACTGCAAATATCCCCTCTGGGACTAATAAAGGTATTCTGATTCTGATAACGGGACGAATTTGTACAAAGGGGCACACAGCAATGTAGTGCCGACTTTCTTACACGCTGGAAGGCCAATCGCTTTTCTTTACCCCGAAATCCGCTCATTCTTGCTCTCGATGTGACGTAACAAACTGTCAAGCTGTCAAAACTCTGTACTCAAACCGGAAGTACTCAGCCGCACACACAGCCGCCGGAAGTTGATAGACGCCATCTTGTGCACAGAGCCAAATTGGCACGACCAATCGTTTTAGCCGGCCCGGCTAAAATAACTGGATGGCCTACCTGCCTGTCAGCCTTCCATCTGTGCACAAACTTATCTCGTGCCCTCATTGGTCATGTGCGCGTTAGTGTGTGTTGGAGGAGGGGCTCTGTAAGGAAGTGGCAGATTTTTCCCGGTTGTGTATTTTCAAATTCTTGCGCACTCGAGCTGGTTTCTCCAAAATTACCTACCCCACCTTTAAGTTTAAATAAAAAAGATTTAGTTCAACTCATTATTATTGCTTTCAACTAACCTCAGAATCAGAAACAGGTTTATTACCAGGTAGGTTTACATGTACGAGGAATTTGACTGGTGTCGTGGTGCATAAAAACAATAATTAAAAACACAGGTAGAGAACTAGGAAAATGTAAAAAATAATAAAAATATATAGTAAAATATAACATTTACATTGTAATGGAATGATAGGAATACAATATGGAATACAAATCAACTGTAATACAAAATAATGTTGTACATTGTGTGCAATAATGTAATGCATATAGGCTTGTTTGAGACGCGTTGCGGCTCGCCTCGAAAGTAGACGAGAATAGCCGATCGGCTTCGTCTTCTTCTTCTCTCGGTTTTTTGGCGGATTGCAAACAACTTTAAGGTGCATACCGCGACCTCCGGAGTCGGCTTGACTCGGTTTGCATTTATAAAGAATGCACACATGTGTTTAATCGTTAGTGTCAGATATGTACTAAGTAAATACATTTGTTCATGCTCAAGATTAGATTCAACTTTATTGTTATTGCACATATTACAGGTACTGAGACAACGAAATGCAGTTTAGCTTCTAACCAGGTGCAACAAGCAGTGAAGTGAAAAGTAATTAACACAATAGACAGAATAAAATATAGAATGAATTGAATGATGAATAAACAGTGAGGGGTATGAATACACTATATATCAGCCTGTGAGCAGTATGAACAGTGTGTATGAATATGCTAAGATAAAGTATGAAAACGGTAAGCAGTGCAAGTATAGTATAAAATATATAGATATTCATTTCATGATGATAAACATTGTGGAACAATGATGAAAAATGGGAATGGATGTGGCGACGTAAAACTGACACAAAACAACAACAAACTTGGAGAGTTTCATCACCAGCACGGGGTAAAACCCACCAATGAGCGCTCAGCTCGAAATACCAGCGAGTCGTTTCCCATCAAGCATTTCGCTTCCGCAGCCCGTGGAGAGGACCTGCGCCGCCTCGCTCTCAAGGCTGCGGGCGTCTTTGTCCCGCGAGATTTCAACGTCTCATGTAGGCGAGCCTCCAGAGCAAGTCGGACAAAATGACTAACCATCATGCAACGCACTAGCAAGACGTTGATCGCAACTGCGCAGGTCTCGCTTGTCTCAAACAAGCCTAGAGTCTATGATGTGGCTGAGGTCAAGTGTCAGTGGGGGGCCTGATGTTGATGAGGCCGGTAGCAGAGGGGAAAAAACTGTTCTGGTGGCGAGAGGTTTTGGTCCTGATGGAGCGCAGCCTCTTGCCAGAGGGGAGGGGGGTGAACAGTTTGTGTCCAGGGTGGGAGGGGTCGGCCACTATCTTCCCTGCCCGCCTCAGGGTTCTGGAGGCGTGCAGGTCGTGGAAGGATGTCAGATTGCAGGCCCTTATCCTTGGCTGTGGCTGCAGTGTACCAGATGGTGATGGAGGAGGTGAGGATGGACTCGATGATGGAGGTGTAGAAGTTCACCATCTTCTTCTTGGGTAGGTTGCATTTCTTCAGCTGCCTCAGGAAGAACTTCCTCTGCTGGGCTTTTTTGATGAGGGAGCAGATGTTCTGCTCCCATTTGAGGTCCTGGGCGATGATGGTGCCCAGGAAGCGGAAAGACTCCACAGCAGTTACTGGGGAGTCACACAGAGTGATGGGGCTGCGTTCTTTCTAAAGTCCACAACCATCTTCAGTCTTGAGAGCGTTGAGCTCCAGGTGGTTGTCCCTGCACCAGGTCACCAGATGGTCCATCTCCCACCTGTAGGCAGACTCGTCCCCACCAGAGATGAGTAGGTTCCTGCTGTGTCCAGGTGCTGGAGGAGGAAGTGAAGGGCCATGTTGACAGCATCATCTACAGACCTGTTGGCTCTGTAGGCGAACTGCATGGGGTCCATAGGGGGTCTGTGATGGATTTGATGGTAACCTAATACAGTTATGGGCAATTTGATTAAATCCAGGCTGAAGACTTTCGTTTATGTCGCTGCTTTTAATTGAACTATTCACATCTCACAATGCACTATAACTTGTATTCATGTATTTTTTATATACGATTTATTTCTGTTTATTTTATGATCTTTGCTTTTTAATGACTGTTTTTAAATGCCATTTTATAATGTGTTTCAGCTGCGCTATTTCTTAATGCTCTTAATGTCTTTCTTTTTTGTAAAGCACTTTGAATTGCCTTTTGTTGAAATGTGCTATAAAATTGCCTTGCCTTGTATTTGAAAACAGTTGTGACTACAAACGCCAGACAATCCTTCTTTGAGTCCTCCTGCCAATGTGTTTGGTTGAGTGATACTAAATGTAAACATGACTCTTGTCAACTTGTCTTTCCAAGGATACTATGAGACGTTTATGTGGCCCTTTCCTGCCAATGTATCAACTATCATTGTTATATAAGAGTATTACAAATGTTCAAATGTTCCCTTACTTCCCCTTTAGAGTCAGCGTACAGCTGTGGTAAGAGAGCAGTGCACTTTAGACAGGAATGAATACAAACAATCATGTGAGTTATTAACAGCCTGTCAAAGGTTGAATGCTATGTCACAGGCTTCATGTCTTTGGTGTTTTCCTTGAGGAGAAGTTACATTTGGTTAACATCTGATTTCAGGGAAAGATCAGGAAAAGACACCGTGTCAAATGTGTTACAAATTACCGTTACATGGTGTTTCCTGATTTACAATGATTGCACTTCACATTAGAAGAGCCAGTTCCACAGAGTGAGTTTACAGAGATAACGCCTGAATGTCAGAGATCTTTTGTACATTTTTAATAAAGTAGTACCGTACAGTTTTTTTTATTGGAAACAGCTGATGATTCCACAAGACTTATTTTATTAGAGGTAACTTTGTTTTCTTATTTGCCTCAAGAGCAACTCATTAAGGTTCAATGTCAGGTTCAATCTCAACGTTACAGAGAAAACTGATTCTCTCCAGTATTGCTGAATAGTTTTCTCTGTAACGTTGACATTGAACCTGACATTGAACCTTAATGAGTTGCTCTTGAGGGAGAATCATCTGTAAAACCACACAGGCCGACATATAATAAATAAACAAAGAAATTAGTATGATTAAAATGTCACCATAATGTGTTTGGAATAAAACGTTGTATGAGCGAGGACTTCATGTCTTAAAACCGCACTTTATGTTTGTGCGACATTTTGAAACAAAACCACATTAAACTACACTGAAAATGATTGTTTGCTATAAGAACCATTTATGCACAGCAGCCTCCTTGTCACTGCGGATACATTCTTCTCTGCACAAACAATATTCAAAGTGTTGTGCTCAACCTTCATGTGGTTTCGGACATGTGAAGAGTTTGGGGAATTTCCCTTTTATGCAGCGTTCGGTTTGAATAGTGCTGCCACATTAAAGAAAGATGATATTAAATCATTTTTTAAACCAACTTTGGATGTGTGAGCCCATCATCGTTGAAAGTTTCACAGTTAAAGAGGATGTAACCCATTTTGCCCTTGCAAATGAAAGTTGGATTGATTATAATAAAAAGCACCAGTATGGTTAGCAAAAATGAAATTTAACTTTTATGACTCTTTTAAAAAGGACCCCTATAATGCGAAATACACTTTTTAAATGTATGGTATTCATATATACAGTATGTCTACCCTGTGTGTTAAGATACTCAGAAAGTTTCAGCAAAAAAGGTTCCATCTCTTTCCCTCCTGATCCAGGTTTGTGAAATCCTCTAAAGAAAATGGGCAAGGTTTCGGTTCATAAGAGACCTAAACGTTCATATTTGACGTCATTTGTGGTCGTACGGCATTAGCAACAAACCAACCGCGGTAAGCCCCGCCCACCCTCTTCCCGGAATCCCCTCCCGCAGCACCTCTGTGTATTTTTGGCTACCGGTTTCAGCAGGATGTCTAAGAAGTTTAGACGCTGTGCTGTTTTAGGCTGCAATAATCTGGCACCTCTGAGTTTGCCGGTGGACACTGTGAAACGCTTCTCTTCCGCAGTGTTCACCATTACCATGTAGCTACTTGGGTGGGGGGCGGAGAGACAGAAACACGTCCGCAAAGGGGCGTGGCCAGTAGCAGCTCATTTGCATTTAAGGCTACAGACACAGAATCAGCACGTCTGAAACAGGGCTGAAACAGAGGGGTTTATGGTATGCTTAAATGCATGATCTGTTTGGGATTTTGAGCAAAAATGTTCAGACATGTTTTCTATATACCTGAGACCTATAATATATTGTTGAAATACATTACAATACGTGACATTTAAAGTGTTTGGACCAGGAATTTATCACATGACATTCTACCTAGTAGTCTTTTGCAACATTTAGGCAATTTATATATCTGGAAATGCATTATCAAAGACTAATACGCTCTTTGATAACATGGTTCTGATCTTTTGATGTCTGTAAAAATGCTACATGCCTTTTTTTTTCAAAATGTCAAAATATCAGATCCTAACAATCCCAAAGTGCTTAGTTTTTTTTTAATAAAAGGGTCCTTCATAGTTGCGCATTGTGCTGACATTTTGATTGTCTTGAGATAGAGCTGCATGAACATGTGACTAACTGGATATGATTAACCTCAAAAATAACTTTAACCTCATTATTGATACTCTAATTTCTCCCGCCTGTTTGCACCGTATGTAGTCTCTCGCAGCACATTCCTCTGCTAATAAGGACATTCTAGCTTCCACTCCTTTCCTCCACAAACACGGCTTGAAGAGCACTTAAGGTTTGGACGTCCTTCAAACATTGTTACAAGAGTGGATATGAAAATAATGATTCCATCTCAAGTCAAAGGGCAGGATTTTGGAAAGAAAATGTGCTTCGTTGACTCAGTTATATGTATTTTTATTCGCTAATCGCTTCAAAAGTCTAGGATTGATCAACACAGGACTGAAACAAATGCATCATAAACATTTATGATACATCAATCCCAACATAATACGAAAAAAGAAAACTGTACAAATGTTTGAAAGTGATATGATCAAAGGGCTCCCCGAACATAAAATGTTTTGAGATCATGGTAACACGTTTCTTTCCGGTTTGTTTGTCGAAAACTGTCTGACATCTTAATAGCCCTCCACATGTGATGCTCTTCAGTCCATGGGCTGCTCCTGCCTTTCCTTGAACTCGTCAACTCGTGCCTGGAACAACATAAAATAGAAGGCAGTCAGAATTGGAGTTGACATGGCACGGAGAGCAACTTAATTTCATTAAAGGACTACTATCCAGGGCGAGCCAAACAGCCCAGGGTTTCTTCCTGTATCCCACATGGAAATATTATTGTACCACGTGTGGACAATTAGGGTTTGCTTTTCTTTGGTCCTCCTCTGTAGGGGGGGGGGGGGCTCAGAGTCACTGGGTCACTGGTTCTCTGCTCAGTACACAAGCCTTTTGAATCACTAATGCTACGTTCACACCGGACGCGATGCGACGTTTGGGGTACTTTTTTAAATATACCTGGGCAGGCTCTGTTTTGCCGAGGTCCTCTGGCACTTGCGGGCCGCTGAGGGGTGGCGGTGTTTGAGGCAATGAAGACGGCTGCGGCTGCTACGCCTCCATGGGCGAGGCGGGCAAAGCCGGCGAGTCGGGCGTTAGTGTCCACGACAGTGGCCGCGGGTAACGTAATGTCCCCATGATCTGAACTGTTATTATCTGCAGTAGATGCAGTGTTACTGCTGGCGATTAGGGCTGGTTGTTTTAACCATTTTCTGATGTCCATCATTGACTGCTGTGTAAGCACTTTGCAAATGACGAACGCGAGCGGCACAGGTCACGCACACCTGACATAATAACGTTACTTACCGTTTAAATTGACTAAATAAATGCAGCAGACAATGTTATTTAACCCTCTGGTATCATTCGATTGGACTACGCAAATTAGTCATTCGAGACAAAAATGTCCACTGTAAAAGACTTTGATAAAAACATTATATTAAATGGGTTTTTTCACAACTTTTTTTGTTTCAATCTGTACATTTTTTTCCCCATCCACTCCCATTATAACCACATCTTTTGATCTCTCCGCCATACCGGTATAAAATCATGCATTTTGTAATGTCAGGGTTTTATATTGGAGGAAAATAGTTACATTTGTCCTTTTTACTGTAAAAACCAGATGTGACATTTTACCATTGAATAACATGCTTGTCATTTCTTGGTTTCTTTGCCTGTTGTATAATGGGGCCCTGCCAGCCATGGGAATACATGTATGCAACTAATATGATGAAGGTGTGTTGGTATGGATGTGGAAGAGTGTATCAGCTGAGAAATGTGTGTGTGTGTGTGTGTGTGTGTGTGTGTGTGTGTGTGTGTGTCTGGATGTACAGTGTGTGTACAGATACAACAATATACAGGAGATTTGGTTTACAGCAAGTCGCAGTTTTCACCTCATATCTTTCTTTCTCTCTCTCTCTTTCTCTCACTCCCTCATTCCCAAACTCATACACACTCTTACATATTAAACCTCCTTATACCTTGTATGTGTGTGAGTGATTGTGTGTGAGAATGAGACGGGAGTAAGTGTGCTCTCATGGCGTTTTGTTTTTCATTTGTGCTGTTTCATGTGTCTTTGAGGTAAACAGATGTATGATCTTGACCCAGCTTGACCTCGATGTTTTGAATTGTTTGGAACTTCAAAGTCCTTTGATAATGTCTCTTTAGCAAACAGACATACACAGCCATACATATACTCCTTGAAGTAAATAAAAACACCTGGCAGCAAAGCCAAAGCTTCAAATATGTGTAGTTTGGCTGGATGGTCATTTCATTCCTGTGATACGCAACAAGCAGTAAGATGAAGAGGAGCTTCTCTGTGGGACAAGAGGTCTCATGCAGCCCGTAACTTCAGCTGCAGGACTCATCCTCTGAAACAGAAACACCCTGAGAAGGAGAATCTGGTGTGGATATGCCTGAACTGTGCTTGAAAGGAGTCAGCACAAGGAT